GATCAATGATCCTTTCTCATCATTGATGTTTCTCTCTCTCTCTCCCTCCCTTCCTCTCTGAATCAATAAAAAAAATACTTTTAATAAAAGAAACCTGGGCCGAGTGTTGGTGAGCAGTGACCCCAGGGAGGCCAAGACACACACCCGAGGGCCAGGCGAACCCTGGAAAGAATGGTCGTTAGTTGTCAGCCACGGAGGGCCACCCACGACGAAGTGGGGAGGGCCTCTGGCTCCGTCAGCGTCTGGCCGGGACGGAAGAAAATGGCCAGTGAAGGCCGATGACCGATGACGAAAGCGTCCCCGAGGAGCTAGGCACAGAGCCACCTGCCTCAGAAAGTGCCCGCCCAGCGCCTCCGGCGAGAGGCTGCGCGAGGTTGGTCTCGGCGCCGTGAGCTGCGTGGGCTTGTTTGTAACGGTTATGTCGCCCTCGCAGGATGCCCACGTGCGCCTGCATCGACTGGGAGTATTTCTGTCCCTAACTGGCTTGGCTCAGGCGGACGCCTGCTCCTCTCCGAGGGGGGAGGAGGGAAGGGGGGGGTGAGGGCAGAGGAGAGCGCCTGGGAGACAGCCCCCTGGGCCTGATGCGGGGACTGCGGGCCACTGTCCACTTTCTCAGCCCATCTGCAGCCCCCACTCCTGTCTGCAAAAAAGAGAAAAATGCTGCTTTTGTCCCCCAGGCCGCTGGGTCCTGCTTCTCTCAAGTCTCTAATGCCACGTGGGAACCGAGAACAAACCCAGGAGTCGCGATTCCACCCGCAGGAGCCTGAGCGGCACCCCCAGGCCGCTGGGTCCTGCTTCTCTCAAGTCTCTAACGCCTCGTGGGAATCAGAACAAACCCAGGACTCGCGATTCCACCCGCAGGAGCCTGAGCGGCAGGGGAGAGGGAGACCGGCCCCTCCCCAAGCCAGGCTCCCTTCAGGAGAAAGGACTCCGGATCGGCCGGGGCGCCACTTTCCAGGTAAATCCCACCCGATTCTGGTGTAAGACACGAGCGCACTACAGGCCACAGGGCCCTTCAGAGACCCAGGGAAATGCAAGGCTGTCAGTCCCTGTGTCTGGGAACAGGTTGGGGCAGCCTCATTCTCCGTGTGCGGTCGGCGGTCGCCCCCTAGTGGGAGGACAGGCACACTGCAGAAGGCCCTCAGAGGCAGGCCAGCCTCGGGGGTCCTTTTTCTCCCCTGGCATCGAGCCTGTGCCCCGAGTGTAGAAGGTCGAGAACAAGTGACAAAGCAGAGGGCGGTCCCAGGCAGAAGCACAGGCCTGAGGCCAGAGTGAGGAAACACGGGAGCAGAACGCGAGGCTTCCCCTCCCCACGTGACCACCTGCTTCCCAGCCCGGAGAGCGGGAAGGCTGCCGGGCCTGCCAACGCCAACGCC